ACCCAAATATATTCAATTTACAATCACACAATTACTATGCAAAAAAACTGAGAAGCTGGAGCAAGGGAATTTTTAGCATTTGTGTGTCAAAAACGACTTAATTTATCATCAGGAATAATTTTGTGTAGTTCAACCAATCGGTAGTCATTTCAGCTCTAGTGTACAGATATGTACATCTATCCGTCTGAATTATACCATTGTGTCGTTTCTGTATATTTGCCTTTCAGATGGGATGGGGGAGACTCTTTACCCGCTGGTCCCAGAGCACAACCTGACGCCTTTCACATTCAAATTAGCTCTTATTGGCGTGACATTGTTTAGCCACCTCTGGATTACCCCCTCCTCCAACTACACACACACACACACAACCTCTGCAGACACAAAGCCAGTATCGTGTGTTTGTTTCTGATTTGCCTCTCTCCACGTGACAAACGAAGCGGATGCATAGGAGCGCATAAATCAGTCATTAGTGACGGTATGTTCCTGGATAAACAGCAGCTCCTGCGCTGGGTGGCTTCCTGGCCTGGCTGGGGTCTATTAGATTTAGCTGAGGGGCGAGTGGCACCAGCTGTGAGAGGCCACAGTGTAACAGAGCGCTCAGGGCGGCATATACAAGACCCTCGGCCATACATCCATCACTGCCTTCACACAAAATAAACTCGCAGAGACAGAAGGCAGAGACAGTAATGTAACTATTAATGAATTTCAGGTCATACGGTGATGTAATCCTCTTACTAGACGGTAACTGATTAATCTAATGTAATGATATTAACACAGCTTGGATTAAAACATGAAACCATTGTAGAAGGATCCTGTGCAGCCTCGGCCCTGCTAACGGAGTAGAGTGCTAGTGGGCTGGACTGTAATGTCAATCAATACACGCCATGATCATATATCACATGTGTGCTACGGGCCCAGTTAACCAACGCCATTAAAACGCTGCTGACCAGCAAGATCAGTGAGCAAATGATCCTCCATTTCTTCTTCTTCTCTTCTTTCACTTCTGTTTTTACTTCTCCTTCCAATAAATCTGATCAACAACAGGGCTGAGAGAGGAAACGCCTCACACAGTGAAAAACATCTGCTCAGGCACAAAGGAGATATGACGCCATCGACAGGCGAC